ATGATCTACATCACACAAGAACATGCCGATTCCTGTGAGTTCGGTTTCTGCTATTAGAATACACATTTCACTGTACATAAGCATGCCTTTATGCAAGCTAAGATAAAGACTGGGATGTAGCCCTGTCAAACCCTAGAGTTAGCAGGACAGGGACAAGTGACCTTAAAGGCTACACAAGAAAGAACACAGAAATGACCTATATTCCTTGGGAAGGGCACTGTACACCCTTCCCTGAAAGTGTCAGCTCTACTTCCTATTTCGTTCCATCACCACTTAATGGTCCTATCTTTTCCTAAAGATAATCTCCATACCATGATCCTTAAAGTGAGTTTCAAAGAAAATACATGAACCTGATATGTAGCAGTGTGGATGCGTATCTCTCTTGCTCAAGTCCCCAAGCCTGCATCTCCTTTGTTCTTTCATATTGTATCTTCTGTTAGCTTTCAAAAACATGCAAGCTTTCCTAAGTTAGAAACAAGGAGAAACGATGTGGTTGCTGCCTTCAATGACAGGAATCTGTGCAAGAAGATGGGAGGGTACAAATGTGAGCTACTCCAGGAGAAAGCCCTTTGGAAGGGAAGTGTGCCCAGCTGCTGCAGTGCCAACAGGAGCGGCAATGCAAGGCAAGTCTGCTTGTCTTCTGTCAAAGCAGCTGCGATACCCAATTTCAGTCTCACGTTTCCCCTTGCAGAGTCTTTTTTTTTTGGAGGGGGGGCAAAGATGGGAGGAGAAAAAAAAAACTTTTTAAAGATTTACTCCATCTCTAGGCCTAAGCGTCCACAAGCATTTGTCCTCTGGTCCTTAGGTGTCAAGTTCCTTGGAGGTGGGGGCTGATTTTGAAGTAAGCCATCAAGAAATCAGTGACTAAAAATCACTATTTTGTAGGAAGGGACAATGTCCCCAAAACTGTGGGTCAGAATTTCAAAGAGGTTGTCTTCAGTCCTGTTTTAAATTGTGGCCCACAACAAGGAAAGTCAGGCAAGTAAAAGCTTTCTTAAGGAAGCTCACTGATATCAAATACAATGGTACCATCAAACAAATTGCTTCTTACTCATGATTATAGGGCTCAGTCAGTATGGACTCGCTTGTGTTTAATAAGAGCTGAGCTCCGGCTGAAGCTCTTATCACACTCAGTACACTCATAAGGCTTCTCCCCTGTGTGAACTCTCTGATGTGTGATGAGGTTGGAACTCTGTGTAAACCCTTTCCCACACTGCACACACTCATATGGTTTCTCTCCTGTGTGGGTTCTCTGGTGCTTAATGAGATCTGACCTTTCCCCAAAGCTTCGCCAACACTCGTTACACTCATAGGGCTTCTCACCAGTGTGAATTTTCTGGTGTGTGATGAGATGAGAACTCCGGCTGAAGCTTTTCCCGCAAGCCGTGCATTCGTATGGCTTCTCTCCCGTGTGTGTCCTCTGGTGCTGAACCAAGTGTGAGATGCGGCTGAAGTTTTCCCCACATTCGTTACAGTGGTATGGCTTTTCCCCTGTGTGGGCCCTGCGGTGCCGCACGAGGTCGGAGTTCTGACTGAAATTCTTCCCACACTCATCACACTTGTAGGGCCTTTCCCCTGTGTGCACACGGTAGTGTTTGATGAGATCAGACCTCTCACTGAAGCCTCGTCCACACTCATTACACTCGTAGGGCTTCTCTCCGGTGTGTGTCCTCTGGTGCTGGGCCAGGTGGGAGCTCCGGCTGAAGCTTTTCCCACATTCCTCACATTCGTATGGTTTCTCCCCACTGTGGGTCCTCTGGTGCTGGATGAGGTGAGAGAGTCGGCAGAAACTTTTCCCACACTCATTGCATTTGTGAGGCTTCTCACCAGTGTGGATTGTCTGATGCTGAATGAGATGAGAGCTCCTTCCAAAACTTTTCCCACATTCATTGCAGTCATAGGGCCGCTCCCCAGTGTGTGTTCTCTGATGCTGAATGAGGTGGGAACTACGACTGAAGCCCTTCCCACATTCGTAACACTTATAGGGTCTGTCTCCCGTGTGGGTTTTCTGATGTCGATTAAGGTCTGAAATCTGACCGAACGCCTTTCCGCAATGAGAACATATGTGATACTGGATGCCTGTGTGGACTTCTTTGTGGACCAGAAGATCGGTGACTTGTTGGAGAGGATAGCTTACCCACTCTTCTGCTGTCAAATCTCCCCACTGTCTTCCTGACCTGTCCCCACTTTCGAAGGTCTCTTCGCTTTCGGGGTTTTTCTCAGCATCCCCAACAGGCCCTTCGGACGTGGTCCCAAACTCTACATCTTCACGAATCTCCTGCTTTGGGTTCACTTCATTCTCACTCCTGATCTCAAAATCTACAGTAAAGATTAAATAATAGAGACTGGTCAGCACGTAAACAAATTACTGACAGTGGTCTAGGCACTCAACTAACCATTTCTGACATTGTTTGCTTTTTAAAAAATATTACTTTTATTTTACGTGTATGAGTGTATTGCCTACATGCATGTAAATGCACCCATGTTGGACAATGCCCACGGCAGTCAGAAAAGGACACTGGATCCCCTGGAGTTGGAGTTAGGGATGGCTGTTAGCCACTATGTGGGTGGCGGGAATTGAACCAGGGTGCTTGTAAGAACAGCCAGTGCTCTTAACCACTGAGCCCTCTCTCTAGCACCCACCCCACTTTTTTTGAGACAGGGTCTCCCTGGAGCCCCAGCTGGCCTAGAACTTGCTATGTAGTCAACGTTGGCCTTGATCTCACAGAGATCCTCCTGAATCTGCCTCCTGAGTGCTGAGATTAAGGCATGTGCCACGTTGCCTGTTTTTATTTATTCATTTATTTACGGTACTAGAGAGTAAACCCAAGATTTTGTGCATGCTAGCAAGTGCTGTCACTGAGCTACATGCCCAGTGAGTATACCCTTCACAGTGGAGGGCAGACAGAGCAAAGTGGCACAAATAACATGAATAATTTCACCAATGGTCACAGCCATCATGAAAGTTCATCTTTAAGAATGAGAAATATGGGGCTGGAGAGATGGCTCAGTGGTTAAGAGCACCGACTGCTCTCGCAGAGGACCGGGGTTCGATTCCCAGGACCCACGCAGCACTATGAACTGTCCTTAATGCCAGTTCCAGGGGAATCCGAAGCCCTCTTCTGACCTCCGTGGCACTGCATGACACAGGTGCAGGTGCACTTACATAAAAAAAATAAAAATAATAAAAGTTTCTAAAAATTTTATTTATTATTTTTATGTGTATGCATGTATTGCCTGCATGTAGGTTAGTGCAGCCATGTTGTGCAATGCCTGCAGAAGTCAGAAGAGGCTGTCGGATTCCCCTGGGACTGGAGTTACAGACTGTTGTTAGCTGCCATGTGGGTGCTGGGATTCGAATCCTGGTCTTCTGCAAGACCAACCAGTGTTCTTAACCTCTGAGCCATCTCTCCAGCTCTAAAAAAAATAAATATTTCTTAAAAAAAGAATGAGAAATCCAAAGTTGGGCATGGTGCTCATGCCTTCAATCCCAGCACTGGGGAGGCAGATGCAGGCAGATCTCTCTGAGTTCGAGGCCAGCCTGGTCTACAAAGTGAGTTCTAGGCCAGCTGGGGCTACAGGGAGACCCTGTCTCAAAAAAAGAAAAAGATAAATCCAAGACCCAGACAAGTGAAGTGCCAAGGTAAAAATATAATGACAGAGCAGGGGCTAAAGAGACGGCTCAGTGTTTAAGAACGTGTACTGCTCTCACAGAGGACCCAAGTTCAGTTCCCAATGCCCACACTAGGAGGCAGACATCCAATTTTAACTCCACCTCTAATGGATCTTATGCCTTCTGGCCTTTGCAGACACTGCACTCATATACACAAACCACACAAAATACAAACACATACACACAAAACATTTTTAGTTAATTAATTAACTAACTAATTAACTTATTGTCTTTTTGAGACAACGTCTCTGTAGCCCCAGCTGTCCTGGAACTCGCTATGTAGACCAGGATGGCCTCAAACTCACAAAGATCCACCTGCCTCTGCCTCCCAAGTGCTGGGATTAAAGATGTGTGCCACCACACCCAGCTTTATTTATTATTTTTAGTCTCTCTTTTTTTGGTCTTTTTGAAACAGGGTCCCCCTGTAGCCCCAGCTGGTCCTGAACTCACAGAGACCCACCAGCCTCTGCCTCCCAAATGTTGGGATTAAAGGTGTGCACTACCATATCTGGCTTTTATTATTTTTATTATATGTATATAAGTATATTGCCTGCATGTATGTAAGTGTACTCATGTCATGCAATATCCACGGATATTAGAAGAGGGCATCAGACCCTTGGAACTGGAGTTAAGGATGGTTGTAAGCCACTATGTGGGTGCTGGGAACCAAAACCTGGTCCTCTGCAAAAGCAGTCAGTGATCTTAACCACTGAGTCATCTCTCCAGCCCCTCAATTATTTATTTTATGTGTATACTTACACAACTAAATTTTGCCTGCATGTATGTAAATGAACCATGTATGTGCAATGTCCATGGAGATCAGAAGATACTGTTGGATTCTCTGGAACTGGAGTTATGGATGGTTGTGAGCCACCATTTGTGTGCTAGGAACTGAACCCAGGTCCTCTGCAAGAACAGTCAATACACTTAACACCTGAGCTGTCTCCTGCCCCATTTTTTTTTTTTTTTTTAAGTCTTTTTGAGACAAGGTCTTCCTGTAGCCCCAGCTGTCCTGGAACTCACTATGTAGACCAGGCTGGCTTGAACTCACAGAGATCTGCCTGCCTCTGCCTCCCAAGTGCTGGGATTAAAGATATGCGCCACCACACCCAAAGCCACTTTTGTTTTTTAAGATGGGGTTTCACTCGGGATATAGCCATGGCCGGTTTGAACTCACAGAGATCTACCTACCTCTTTTTCCTGAGTGCTGGGATTAAATGTATAGGCCACCACACACCCATCTTAAAATAATTTTTAATCTAATAATAGTAATAATAACAATAATGGCAGAGCAGTAAATGTCAGGTCCAGAATTCAAACTCAGGTCTGTCCACTAAAAAGTTCATACTCTGTATTACTTCAGTTAATAGTTCTTTAAGAAAATTATTTATTCCTGGTGTTTTAAAAAAAAGAAAACCACGAGAATCAAAACAAGAGACCTTAAATTAGAATATATAAAAACAGGTTCTAGCGGGCATGGTGGTACACGCCTTTAATCCCAGCACCTGGGAGGCAGAGGCAGGCAGATTTTTGTGAGTTAGAGGCCAGCCTGGTCTACATAGTGAGTTCCAGGACAGCTGGGGCTACAAGGAGACTCTGTCTCAAAAAAGACAGAAAAAAATAAAATAAGGCTCTAGAAAACTTGGGGGCAATACATTTGTTTACTTTCTCAAGCCTTCATATATTTCCTAAGAAACTACCAAGTTAATATGGAGAAAAATAAATTTTTAGCTATCAGTATCAGGTCCATTGGCCTGTTGTGAGAGTGTCTCACGTTGCCCAAGCTGTCCTAGAACTCACTGTTATGTAACCAAGGATGGCACTAAATTCCTGACCCTTTTGATTCTACCTACCCAGCACAGGGATTACAGGTGTATACCACCAAAACCAGCCCCTGTATCATGTCTTCACCTCTTAGTTGACAAAAAAAATTGATTGCCAAATGTCACTTACTACTTTTTGGTGGGAAATTAGCATGGGAAATTTGGAGAACATTAAAAAAAGATGTTTGACTCAGAACATTCTCCTTTTTCAAGAGGGAGTGTTGGGAATTGGAGACCAAATTCAAGGCCTTGTGCACATCAAGCATGTACTCCTTTACCACTAAGCTACACACCCAGCTCTGGCTCAGACGCTTTTTGGCATTAAGTATATGGCAAATATAGTTTTCAAGTGAAAATAAAAGAATACAGCTAGTTTATAAGGAACTTCTACCAAATACTATAGTTTCTTTCATTTTTTAAATATATTTTATTTATTATTTTTATTTTATGTGTATGAGCGTATTGCCTGCATGTATGTGAGTGCACTCATGTTGTACAATGCTACAGAGGTCAGGAGAGGGTATCGGATTTCCCTGGAACTGGAGTTAAGGACGGTTCAAAGCTGCCATGTGGGTGCTGGGAATCGAACCCAGGTCCTCTGCAAGAGCAGTCAGTGCTCTTAACCACTGAACCATCTCTCCAGCCCTGATACTACGGTTTCTAAACTGAGATTCTTTGTATACCTTCAGGAAGAGCTAAGTAGTTATGTGTCACTGAAAGGGCCTTCTTGCAGATAACACTGGTAAATGGGGCCTCTGATACCTTCTCATTAGAAATCCACAATGTGAGCAGGGTATGATGGTACACACCTTTAATCTCAGCACTTGGGAGGCAGAGGCAGGTGGATCTCTGTGAGTTTGAGACCAGCCTGGTCTACATAGTGAGCTCCAAGCCATCCCAGGATAGTGAGACCCTGTTTCAAAAAACAAAACACAAAGAAAAAAAAAAAAAAAAAAAAAAAAAAAAAAAAAAAAAAAAAAAAAGAAAGAAAAAAAGAAAGAAGAAATTCACACTGCTAGCCTGGCACAGTGGCACTCCCCTGTGATCCCAGCAGTCAGGAAGCTAAGGAAGGAGGATTATAAATTCGAGGCCAGTCTGGACTACAGAGCCACACCCTAGCTCAAAAAACAAAGAAGGGCTGAGATGGGTCAGTGGGTAAAGTGCTTGCTGCACAAGCATGAGAATCTGAGTTTCTGATCCCAAGCACCCAGGTAAAACCTGGGTACACCGTTACCCTAGCACTATAGGGGATGGAGACAGGTAGATCCTGGGGGCTTACTAGCCAGCCAGTCTAACTGAAACAGCAAGAGAAAGAGAGAGACCCAGCCTCAAAAATAAGGTGGATAGATAGAGAAGGATACTTAAAGTCAACCTCTGGCCTCCATACTTGAGCACACACAGGCAAGAGCCATCTGCATACCCCCATGCACGCACATGCATACATCACATCCACACAAGAATGAAGAAAACAAGCAAATAAATAAATCCAAATGTTTAATAGCACATTAAAGGGTCCAAGGACTCCTGAGATAAAAATGACTTAGAAACATTTATTAACTTTCCCCCAAGCTTATTTGGGCAAGAAATCAGCTTTTTGGTTAATTCTATCTTTCCAGTATGTGCTCCTTGAGATAGACAGGTTCATGCATTCTGGGCTAGCTCCAAACTCCCTTTGTAATCAAAGTTAACCTTGAACTCCTGGTCCATCTGCATCCGCCTCCAAGTGCTGGGATTACAGGTGTGCACCACTGTGCCTGGCATTATGCGGTGCTGGGGATCAAATCCAGGGCTTCAGGCATATTAGCCAAGCACTCTATCAACAGAGGTGCATCCCTAGCCCTATGCATTTCCCTCTCTAATAGAATTTGTGGCCAAGCTATTTAAAGATTATTCTGAAACAACACTTGACACGCTTGCAGTATGATCAACTCTAAAACATTTCTAGACAAGAATCTACTCAGATAAAGAGCTGGAGGCAAAGCTGCAGCTATGAAACCAAAACAAACACAAAAGGGTGGCTTCCGCCCTCCCGTGAACCTGCTTCAGAAGCCCTCATCTTCCAGTGCCCTGGAGAAAAAGCACCCTCTGCGGGGGCATTTCTATCCTGACAAGCACCACTGTGTCAGACCTGTTTGGTCAGTGATCTGTACAAACAGGCTGCAGGATGGAAAATGACTCAGAGCAGGAGAACTCTGAAAGTCTCTGAAATTGCACAAACTTTTCTCTTTTTTTGGAGAATATAATCTGGATGTTCCCATATTCAAAGATTTGCCTAAACACGGAAGCCAATTGCTAATTAAGTTTTGTTTTTTGTTTTTAAAAACCAACAAGGCTATGTTGAAAGGCCTAAGCCATTGTGGTGGTTTCTGAATCATAGGGGGTGAAGAAGGTACAATCCTCACTCACCCAATGAGACAACATTTCCATAATTCTCCTGCATGACGTCCCTGTAAAGGTCCCTTTGTGTAGGATCCAGAGGTCTCCATTCTTCCCTTGTGAGGTACATGGCCATATCTTCAAATGTCACAGGTGCCTGAAATCACACAATGCTCCCTCACTACTTGGTATCTAGGAAGTTAGTACCAGTTTTTCTTCTTGAAATTAGAGACATGGTTAGAAATGTCGAGAAGGCAAAGGCATTAAGTTTGATCTGTAGAGTCCAAAGAAGAAATAAGAAAGAAAAGAAAAAGAAGAAGACATGTGGTCAAAAGGCAGGGGGCAATTTACTAGCTGACTGCTCTGGGCTCAGGGCCAGGCTATTCCTGCCACTTTTGGAACCTTAGCCTCTCTAGTCATATCCTTTTCAGAACACATCTAGAACTTACATTGCTCCAAGCCTCTATATACAATATTCCTTAGACGGAGTGAAATTCTCTTCTTTTTGGGCCAGTTCTAGTGCCAACTATAGTTTGGTGCCCATCCCGCCCGCCCCCCCACCCCGCTCTTTTCCTCCTTCTAATATCCCAAATAGAATTAATCATTGCCCCCCCCCACTTACTGGTTCCCACACCACAGCACTTTCTTGTTAAAATAAACAGAACCTTTATCACATTGTATCATAGTTAACCCTAAAAATTGTAGGCAGGGAGGGAACCGCCCATCTTGCTCATTTTTTTTTTTTCTTCCCCAGTACGTAAAGGCATATGTCTGATATATGCTTGTATGTGGCTATATTAACTAGTCCCTGTCGCAGAATAGCGAAGCGAACTAATTAATAATTCCAGGGAGGTTTGCCGAATTTAGAACCATCAGGCGAGATGGGTGAGCAGAGGCGAGGTCTGGGAAGCAACCCCCCAGCTTACCTGGGACCCAGCCATGAGCAGGGTGGCTGCCATCTCGGGCGCAAGCGTTCGCCTCCTGGGAGACAGAGCAGAAAAACAGCTAATAGCGCTAAAGGAGGCGAAAAGCAGGGCGTGAAGCTCGGAGAGGCCCTGCCCACTCCCCAGGGCTGGAGTTCTGGCCGCAGGGCGTGCGGGAAGGCCCTGAATCGGGCAGGATCTCTCTCTTCCCTGGCACCCCAAGCGTGACCTGCCCTCTGTGTTTCAGTTAAACAACCGAGCACAAGCACTGCCAGAATAGCAGAGGACAGCCCCCAGGCTGGGTCCCTCCCGGGCAGGGGGCCCTCGTCAGGTCGATGCTATCGCAGGGAGGAGGCTCTCAGCCCAGCCCACAGAAACGCCTCTGCTCTTCCATCTCCGGGCTGGGTCCTTTCCGGCAGCAGTTTTCAGCCAATCAGTGAACGAAACGCATAAACACTTGACCAATCAGATGCCAAACCCTCCCCCCTCCCTCCTGTAGCGTGGCCCACTAGCTCCAAGACGCATGCGTTGGCCTCGGGGACTGCCGGGACTTGGAGTTCCACTGCAACGTACAAAGGCCACTTAGAGGCCAAGAGCCGAGGAGGGAAAAGAACAAAAGGGAGGAAGGGACCATATCCTTCTGGACAAGGCGAAGTAGCCCCTGCTTTATCTTGGAGACCACAGCATGATTCAGCGGGGAAGAGTGCCCTGGTTTTTCTCTCGGCCATAGGACCATCTCTGAGTTAGAGTTTATGATCCACGAGATCAGACTTTAGTGCTGAGCTCCGCGGGGATCAGCCCTTATCTACCAGCCCAGACCGGAGAGGAAAACGACCCCCATCCAATGTCCCTCGGAGACTCCCAGGCTTCGCTAGAACTTTGGGCCCCGCCCACACACTACACCTCCCAGCGTCTCCCGGTCCACAGACTACAACTCCCAGCAGGGCTTGCGGCACGCGCAACCCCGCCTGCAGACTACAACTCCCAGTAGGCCTCGCGCCGCCCGCCTAGCGCGGGAGTGTGGGGTTTCCCGGGGTTAACCCTATAGTGATCTACGGCCGCGGTTGGTTTTTTTTTGTTTTTTTTTTTTAATAGAGGGGACCCAATTGTACTCGTGAAAGATGCCGGAACACTGCGATCAGAAGCGGGGAGCGGATAGGGCGAGTAAGGAGATAGTTGGCCCCAGGGTAGAAACTCAGGGACCTTGCATTCCTGAGGATCTCTGCTGAAAAGGTTCTTGGAGCCCTCCCACAGCATTGGGATCCCCGGGAGGGTCCTCAGGATGTTAGCAATCTCTGGCTCCAAGCAGGAAGCCACAAACCCGAGTTAGGGACGAACAGACTTACCTCCTGTTGCAAAAGATCCAATGGATTGCTGGCTCCAAGGTTCTTGGGAGGCCTGAGCTGAGAGATTATAGATACCACCAGCAGATTCCGGAGATCTCAGAGCCGCAGGTAGAAATTATCGAATCCACAGATTTCCAGGCAAGGCCCAGAGTTTGATTGTAGGCTGATCGCAAAGACTCAGATTGCGGAGACCTCAGACTTGTTCCGCAGTTCAGAGAAACCACAAGCTCATAAACAGATCCCTGAGGCCACAACAGTAGCTAAGAAGCAGCAGCAGCAACTAAGCTGAGTTCAGAAGGAGTTCCTCGGAACAAGATTTGCAGCCTTCCCTTTCCCCAGCCAGGATGAGGGAATCAGACAATGGAAGGCGAGCTCTAGGCAAAACAGACATTCTGCGTGGGGAAGAGCTCCCAGCTCGCTGTAGCCTTGGAGAGGGAAGTGATGGAAAAAGAATAAAGCAGCTTATTAGGGACTCCCACCCTCTTCAAGTTATAAATATCCGCAGAACCTTGGCTTCATGCCCGGAAGCCTGTTGTCTCTAACTGTACAGGAGATTTCTCTGCCTGGGCTGTGAAAGGGGGCTTTTCTTTTGTTTCACAGATACATCCAACCACTGAAGGACTTGGAAAGAAAAAATCTTTTTTTCAAACATGATTCCCGGCCATGCTTTTATTACAGGTCCTGTTCCCAGTACCCAGTTATTTACGGTTAAATTACTCAAATGCCTAAAATGAGCTAGCAGGACCCTACCAGCCATAAAGCACCACCCTCTACCTGCTGCTTCCCTTCCACTCCCAAAGGTAGGACTAAGAATTCTTCAGATGCTCCAAAATTGTACCATTCTACTTTCGGTAGCATTGAGCCAGCCGCAGCATGTTAGAATCCTGAGACAGACCTACAGTAGAACCCAGGCTGTGTATTCTTCAAAAAAATCTCTGACTCCAGGCCTATTTACTTTCCATAAAGTGGGGACCATCATAACTAAGGCTGTTAAGAGACGATTTAAAGCACTCTGCACAGAATGAGTATGCGGACCGTAGTTACAATTAATCCTGCTTTTGGTAGCAGGAGAAACTTCCAGAAAGGCCCATGAGTATATTCGATGGCCTGGAGGTCTGGAAGAATCAGAGCAGCTCAGTGACTAAGGATCTGGGGTGGCCTTATCCTTACATTGTTTTTTTCTGATGGAAATACCAGTGGGTGGGTTCAAGTGAAAGGTATGTGGCACCTACGGGAGCAGAGGTATTTGGGGCTGCCAGCAACTCAGTAAGTTGAGGGAAAACTCTGGGTTGGGGGTCAATAACCAAATCCCTAGAAACAAGTATGGGGTGGGCGCGGCAGGGGTGGTGATGGTGCAAACTGGCGCGGATGGTGGTGTTGGTCTCTAAGGCGAGGGCCCGAGTCTCACCCCCAGGGGGGCTCCCTTTCCCAGCCTACTCTGGCAGATGGCTTTGGAAACAGGTCTTTTGTTCCCCTTACTCCAGTGCTTTAAGCCATCTTTTGTCCTCCGGACCGCCTGGGTAACAGGATGGCTCCGGACCCTCTACCGCCGGCCAGCCTCCTAAATAAGTGCCCCACCACCATCATCTGGGACCCTCCCAGAGAAGCTGTGAGGGAGACCAGAGGCGCTGGTGCATCGAGCCCCTGGAGGAGTGGGGAAGGAAAGACAGTGGCTTAAGGGGCTTCCTGTTGGTGGGGGTCACTGGAGGAGGAGGAGGCTTCCTGCTCCATTGTTCAGTGTTACTCAGAAGCACTTACCCTATGTGGTTTTTCCAGAATGAGTTGGAAAGCCCTGTCCCCATCATTCAGCAAAGATGATCACCAGCTTCAATACAGCATGGCCCTGGGAAAGGCGGTTCTACCTTGAGATTTGAGAAAAGAACCTCCTGGCATTTCCTTAAAATGTGTGATTGTAAGAGTGAGACCACGGAGGACAAGTCACAGCAATGATTATATAAATCTTATGGCTAT